CTTGCCTTTTCTCTCTTGTTCCTTCTCTACACAGCATAACCATATGGTTGCTTTGTTTATTCATCTGCTTGCTTATTTTTCTGTTACATTCCATAAGAAGAGGCTCTTGTCATTTCCTCTGATTGCTGTACCCTCAGCCTGAAAGCTGGTAAGTCCTCAGTATTGGCTTGAAATAACATAGGCCGTGCAGTAGATACATAGCACACACTGGTTATCATTTTAGCGATTTACAGAAGTAGATTAGCCTTGCTAAACTAAGTGTGTCGTGGAAGCAGTGCTGCTGAGACCCATGAGCGCCGACCTTCTTTTGGGCAACCAGTTCACAAATAACAACATAGAGACTTACTAGTTATGAAAACCTGGCCATCAGCTTAGGCTTGTCCCACCAGCTCTTATAACTTAAATTAACCCACAGTCTTATTAATCTATGTTTTACCATGTGGCTTCTACCTGTCTTCCATCCTGTGCGTCTGACTTGTTCCACATCTCAATGGTACCCCTGGAGCCTCTCTGTCCCCTGAAGTCCTGTCTAACCTCTTCCTGCCTGACAACTGGCCATTCAGTGCTTTATTAAACCAATCAGAAGGTGCCTCGACAGAGACACATCTTCACAGTGTAAACAAATATTCAACAGCAAGACATTTTCCATTTTTCTGAGTTGTCATTTTTAATAGAAGAACATATTTAAAGTCATATTTTAACAACTTTTCCCTAAAAAGAAAGGCAAATTAAAGCAACAGTTCCTAGCTTAGTTAACACTGTTGGCTCATGGAATAGCCTTCATCTGGTCTAATTAAAAAAGCTAGGCATAATTACAGGCCATTTCTGGAGATTGCTCCTTCTCAGGAGCTATGAGAAGACCTAAGGATGAGGAGGGCATGGGGGCTCACATGATCCCGCTCACCTAGACCTCTGAGAAGTCTCCTTTCTCCCGTTAGCTGTGTAGGAAGACCTGGACATGTTTCTACTTGTGCTGTGATGACCCAGTTCCATGTTGTCTGTCTTATATGTGTCCTGTGCACTGAAATTTCGGCTTCCACGACTATGCACTGGGTGAATTCCAGGTCAGTGATGTGCCTCTTCTGCCCAGTTTGTTTATCTGAGAATAAGAAACTCAGCAGTGCATGAAATTGTTAGAAGGGGATGTTGAGTGGTACACACACAATCCTCAGTGGATAAGAGTGACCTTTCACATTCAGAGTTGGTTCAGGACTTGGGGCCATGTGAGAATTCAACTCAACCTCTGTAATTCCAGGTTCTGACATGTGGGCTACAAAAAGATCATCACAGCCATGTGGGGTGGAAAATAATCTCTACATCTCCATGAATGCTCTTTCTTTGAAGAAGGGCCATATAAGAATGGACTGTGCCCTGACTCTAGGGTGGGGCCGTCAGTTGAAGTTGGAAGTGGGAGTGGCCTGCAGTGCACACATGAAACTATACAGTCCCTGTGTGTGCAGACTGACAAGAATACCTGACATACATCCAACACAGTGAGTCAGGTATGTGGCAGGAGGGATGACTTTCCTGCCAAGGTTTATTCCAGAGTTGCCCAGGAAGTACTTCAAACAGAAATAAAGGGACAGGAGATTGTACTGAAGGACTGAGGGGAATAAGACCATGCAGCCTTACTTAATGTGTTAGCAAGACGCCTTGTCTTATTCCCTATTAAAACATACCTCAATGGTGCCTGTTAGCCATTCCAGATCAAATTAACTCAAGAATATGGAGAAGATCTTTCAGTTTTGCCCCCATTTTTCACCTATACCAGTCATGTTCTAGGTGTAAATTTTTGCATACGGTTGGAGTTAAATTTAATTTTCTCCATACAGACACACACTTGACTTAGCATTATTTATTGAAGAGATCACATTCAGAGAATCCCCCACATAAATACAAATCACACCAGCATATTCTTCTGTTGCTTTCTAGTTCTCCCTTTGTTGTAGGCTGAGTGTCTCAGTGGGGTTATTTCATTTCTGTGTTCTACTTAATTCAATTCACACTGTTCAATTCTTTATACACATTCCTATTCTCTATATTCACATTAAATGAGAAAGAGTCATCACCACCACCATCATCATCAACATCACCTGTAATGGGATTTCTTCCAGTCAGCCTGGTTCCAGTGCCACATCAACCCCAAATAACACACAGAGACTCTATTAGTTACAATGCTGTCGGCTAATGTCCAGGGCTTCTCAATGGCTAGTTCTGTCTTAAGTATTAACCCATGACTACTAATAGATATTTTATAAGGACTTATCTTTCTGAGGATGCCAGACTTGTGCCCTTTCCTCCTGGGATTACATGGCAACTCTCTACTCTACTACATTTCCCAGAATCTTCCTCGACTCCTAGTCCCACCTATCTTTCTTCCCTATTAGCCAACAGTACCTTATTCATCAACCAATAAGAGAAACATATTTACAGAAAGACATCTCCCATCAACCACCACCACTATCCAACATCATCTGGCTGTTACCAGCACCACCATCTTTATAGTTACATTAATAACCTTTCTGTTACTGAGATGAAACACCCTGACTTAAAGCAATTTACGGACAAGTATATTTTGGCTTGTGACTCCAGAGGGATAACATGGCAGAGGGACATGGCGTCAAACATAAGAATGGTGTAAGGATCAGGAAGCTGGGAGATCACATCTCAGCCACAAGTCTAAAGCAGACAGAGAAAACTGGAAGTAGATGAGGCCATGGAATCTCAAAGTGCAATTCCAGTGATACAGTTCCTTCACCAAGCTGTGCCTCCAAAATCTCCTCAGGAAGTATCACCAACTGGAAACCAAGTGTTCAAATACATGAGCCTACCGGGGACATTTCTCACTGAAGTCACAATACCTAAAGCCATTAAGTGCTTGCTGTGTGCCTAAGCACACTTAAACCCTACACCCTATGATAGGGCATTACTATGAACCCTCTTTTATATATAAGGATTTTGACACTCTGAAATAGAATGCAACATTCCTAAGATCATAGTGTTACATGATGATCTGTCCCAGTTCCGAAAGACCCTAGGCCAAAAAGGCTTTGATTTAAACATTGTGCTCCCTCAGAGGACCCTCAGAATACCCACCTTGAGACCAGAGAAGGCTATTTGTTGATAAGGAAACAACTTGAGCTTTTCTTGTGTTTACTGCCTTTTCTGAAGCTCTGAATGAGTGAATTTCTTCACAGATAGAAAACTTTAAGCCTGTAAAGCACTTAAAGATCTGTGACTGTCCATTAGTGTAGTTTATACTTAGAAGCAATGATTCCCGATCTCGGCAATGCTAACAACACTTGGGCCCACCTGCAGTCTTAACTGGAGAAATCACATACTACCCCAGGGTTCCCATGTGCTCCTCTTAGAGTCCCCACATACTTATACCCTTCCAAGCAGATGACATTGGAAAGACACATACGTGTCATTCATAAGCAGTTGGGCCCATATTTTCAGGCAGAATTTTTATGGAAACATGACAGAGGAAGAGAAAATCTGCTGTAACAGGTAGAGTGCCCAGCTTAGAGATGTGGGACTGAAGCAAACGGGGAAAACATCAGAAAATGTGTGCTGGGCTTTTAGTGGTGAGCAGATATAGGAGAGAGGGGAAAGAGAATGAATGGTAGGAAGAAGAAAGATAGATAGGTTAGGTAGGTAGATAGAAAGACAGACAGATAGATGATAGATTAGAAAATGGAATGGGGGACATAAAGTACCTCAGTAAGTGGACCAGGCAAGTGACATACCAGGTATGGAGGTGGAAACCTTTTACACCAGCACTTGGGAGGCAGAGGCAGGCAGACCTCTGAGTTTGAAACCAGCCTGATCCACAAAGAAAGTTTCAGAACAGTCAGCGCTGTTACACAGAGAAGCCCTGCCTTGAAAAACCAAACCAAAAAATAAAAGAAAAGAAATGAATGATGACAGGAGAGAGTTGGTTTTAAAAAAGGAGGGTAATAAGAAAAAAGAAAGGAAGGAAGGAAAGAAGGAAGGAAGAAAGATACAGATATATTGAAAAAAACACATAGGACTCGTTAAGGGTATCTGTATTGTAAACAGACAGTGGTCCTGGGATATACATAGAATACAATCTGTAGGAAAGTTCTTTCTTAATGGTATTTGCTCATAGTGCATGGTGGGAAACCAGCTTGAATTGATGCTGAGTTTAGAGTTTTAGGAGTTGAAGTCCTCTGCTTTCTTCCATGCCAGGTGTCGGGGCTCATGTGTAATATTTCAGAAAGATGCTCTTTCCAGCCACAAATTCTAGGTGCTCAGAACTTTTATTGTATTTTAGTTGTTGACCTCTGGATGGCATGGCCTTGGTGGAGAATGGCTCCTATTTTGTATAACAGAAGACCTAGGCCTGAAAGGGTCTACACCCACCCTGGAGGCTAGTGAGACATGCTGATATGGAGTGTCTGAGGGCTTGAGTATGTGCTGCTTAGGAATGTCTCTAGGATTAGGAGACATATTTCCTATTCAGTCCTCTATACATGATAATAGATGTCTTCTGCCATTACTCCCCACTTTTGGATAGTTACTTAACATGATGCTTCAATAAACCGAGGTCTCCAGTACTGACTGGGAGCCCTCTTGCTATGACGGAATGAATGTCTTTGTCTTGTCCTTAACATCGTTGGGTAGCTAAGCCTTACCACGTCCACACTCCTCCACCCAGGGTCAGACCCGAGGCTGATTGGCTGGTTCTGAACGAAGCCCCAGAGACATCAGTTCAGAATAGATGGCCCCTGCAGTGTGAGACTGATGCAGGCCAGACCCAGCAACCAGGAACCCATAGTGAGGTCCAGATGTCCTATCACTATGTTCAGGCCTGAAATACTGATCCAATTCAGGGAGAAAACAAACTAAACAACAAAAAGAAAAGAAAGAGGGAGGGAGGGAGGGAGGATGGACGGACGGACGGAAGGAAGGAAGGAAGGAAGGAAGGAAGGAAGGAAGGAAGGAAGGAAGGAAGGAAGGAAGGAAGGAAGGAAGGAAGGAAGGAAGGAAGGAAGGAAGGAAGGAAGGAAAAGATTTTTGAACAAGAACCTTGGAGAGCTCCACACGGTGGTGAAAACCAGTCAGAGAGCAATGGGAATCTTTCTTTTGGGATCATGGAGGAGGAAAACTAGCTTTCCGAGATCCTGGAGGGGAAACGAGTGTTGGGACCTGACTGCCTGCAGGAGGTAAGTTGTGTCTGTAGCAGTAGCCGCCATATCTGCACAGGCTTCCCCACTACAGCAACGTGAGCATGAGGGTACCGTGTGCCAGGACCTGTGCGTGGGAAGCTTGCAGTCTGCCGCATCCAGTCCTGAGAGATCTTGATGGCGTCCAACTGGCGATAAGCACTGCCAGCTCGCCCCCAAGCCATTCCCTCTGGTTGCTAGGCGAACAGCACAAAGGAAAACAGAGGGGGAGCCAAACAGCACAGAGACTGTTCTCACCAGGTGGGTAGACGAACATGGCCAAAGAGAAGGTAAGTCTGCATAGACCCAGAATCCACACTGCTGGCTGATCGGGTGAAATCTGCAGACCCAGAGTCCACACTGCTGGCTGCTCGAGTGACATCCGTAGACCCAGAGTCCACACTGCTGGCTGCTCAGGTGAAATCCGCAGACCTAGAGTCCACACTGCTGGCTGCTCGGGTGAGATCCACAGACCCAGAGTCCACACTGCTGGCTGCTTGGGTGAGATCCACAGACCCAGAGTCCACACTGCTGGCTGCTCGGGTGAGATCCACAGAAGTTAGCACACATACCATGTTTTTTTAAAAATATAAGAAAAGTAATTAATATCACTTCCTCACTTTGCTTATTTCTTTTCCTCACTCTTTTTTTCTGTAGACACAGTGTAACTCAGACTGAGTAATTGGCATGTTTATATGTGTCTAATACTCAATTTCTTTGACTTGCTTTGTCCTGTCTTTATGAGGAGTTGTTTCAGTTTTAGCTTTGCTTTGTTTTTCATTTATATTGGTTTTGTTTAGAGATTAGGTTTTGCTTTACACAGGATATAGGCTGTCTGGGACTTGTAACCGCCCAGACTTAGATTCCTGAGGGCCAGGTTGTTACATGTATGCTCTCACACCCTGGTCTTAATATTTATCTTGAAATTTCTTATTATCTACCTATTATTATCTATTATTATTATCTGTCTTCACATAAATGATTTTTTTCTGTCTTCCTTCTTAATTTTTATCCTCTTTCACCCATCTATAAGCTTTTTTGCTATTTTGGTGTTTTTCCCCTCTTATTTTACTTTTAGCTGGGTTGAAGTAATTTCTTTCCTTCTGCATTGGCATTTTCCATTCTATTTAGTGTTTCCTCCTCCTCCATTTCCTCCTTGCCATCATCCTCTTCTTCTATTTTTACTAATACTATTCATTATAATTATTCTTTTTCTGAGCCTCTCTGAACCAACTAATATCTTCTTTCTATACAGTATTATATTTATTCCCCTAAAGCTAATGAAGTTATGTTGATTTTTATAATTTGATATTAATGTATTTTTATGGTGGATTTATCTGTGGTTGCTTCTGCAGTGATTTTTATTTTATCAGTGGTATTACTTGTAGCAGGCTGGGTGGTTACTTGGCTTTGAACTATGTTTTTCCTGTCCAGTTGTGAAAAACTGCATCTCATCTCTGCCACGACCCTGTCTCCCCTAAACTTCTATAATACTTCAACTTAAATAATGGGAGAAATTGGAAGTTAAAACCAATGAACTGAGCTCCAGATGTTCATGTCCATTTTTTTAAATGTTAAAAATAAGAAAGTGTGATTCACATAAAGTTACAGAACATGGAAAAATCAAATTGGAACTGACAAAAAAAAAGATGTCTCACTGTGTCTACTTTTCGTGGTACTGGAAGATGCTATGTAGGCAGTGTGTATGTATGTGTGTGTAGGGGGAGAGTCATCAACAGTCTTACCCAACTGTGAATCTTGTGAAATGCAATAATGATGGTGTAGCAAGATATGCCCATGAGTGTAATAGCGGCATGAATATTATGGGGATAACCAACCTCCTTCTGATTGTTTTAAAGACCTGCTCCACAGGAGGAAACACTTGGCTGCTACTGTAAATCTGACCGTGAAACCATTGCTTGGGAGCTCACAGTCCACAGATGTGAACCTATACCTATCACTTGTAAACATTTCTGCTAAGTAGACACAGTATTAAACTACCCCCAAAATGTTGTATCTGTCTACTTATGTGTGGGTATAGCTCTCAGACCTCATCAGAAAAGCTCTGTGTGCAGTGGAAAAATAATTAATACAGAAACTTTGCAACTGGTCAAAGTATAGAGAATAAGGAGCAGTGGAGTGCTCAGCCACAAATGAGACATCTACATCATCCCTACCTCCAGGTTCTGAGACCATAATGGAACAGGTGTATAAGAGCTGGAGGCCACAGAGGAACAGAGCAGAGTGGTGTTTCCCCAGGTATGACAGGACAACTGTACTCAGGAATTAATAAGAGCCAGACTACACAAGGAAAAGCCAGTCAACATTCTAACACAAGATAGGAAGGTGTCCATGACCTTCCACCCCTAAGTAAGGTGGTATGGACAGCTAAGGGCTTAAAAGGGAGGGAATGCCAGTTTCTTTTTTCCAGGGGTGTGACCTCTATTAGGTCAAGCATGCTCCAGTAGGTGGCCCTATAGGCCATGAAGTTTGTGGGGGAAGAAGGTAGATCTGGGAGGAATTAGAGGAAGAAGTTGGGGTGAGTTAAATCAAATTACATTGCATGGCATTATGAATGAATTAATAAGATATTTTTTAAATGAATTTGTGAGATGTAGTAATAAAAGCAACAATAGTTTGTAGTTATAAGTCAATGTCTACTTTAAAAAGTCAGAAAAGGCTGGGGGGTGGTGGCACACGCCTTTAATCCCAGCACTTGGGAGGCAGAGGCAGGTGGATCTCTGTGAGTTCAAGGCCGGGCTGGACCCACAGCCTCCAAAACACTACAGAGAAACCCTGTTCTCATAAACCCCCCCCCCAAAAGTCAGAAAGATCTTAATAGCTAATAATTCCTCCCATAGTCTTAGATAAACAAGAACAAGTCGATTTAAAACTGGACAAGTAGGAATAAAGATAAAAATCCAAGCTGAAATAATGAAATGAAAATCAGAAAAAAATACAATGGCTCAATGAATCAATGTGATGATTCTTTGAAAGATGTCATCAAACTTTTAGCCAAAATAATCAAAATAGAGAAGACACTAATTCATAAACTAGAGTTAAAAATATGGTACATATACAAGGAGAATCCAGAAGTTCATTAGATAACTTAATACACTCTACAAGTTAAGAAGTTTAGAAGGAAATGGTAGAGTTCTAGATACATAGAAGCTAACAAATTAAAGCAATAAAATTAACACAACTAAGTCAATCAATAATGGATAACACTCTGAAAGACTAATAAAAAATAGTCCAAGGTGGATTGAATATACTGCTGAATCCTATGACCTTTAAAGAAACTGACGCTGAAAGACAAATAAAAAATAGTCCAAGGTGGATTGAATATACTTCTGAATCCTATGTCTCAAATCATTGTATAGACTAGAAGAGGATAAATAGTTGAAATCTCATTCTAGAAAGTCAGGATTGCCCTGGTACAAAACTGGAGTGAGGGCACACACAAAAAGACTTACAAGACAATTTCCTTGATTAGCATGGATGTAAAAATCCTCACTGAAATACTTGCTAACTGTATTCAATAGAATATTAAAAAATCATATATCATTACCAACCTGTATTCTCTCCAGAAATGTAACTACGTAACATATACAAATAAATACAAGACATTATATGAACAGGGACAAGAATGAAAATCAAATAATCATCTCAACACACACAGAAAAAAGCATTTGCCCTAACCCAAGGTCCTTTCATAACCAAAGTTCTAAAACACTAAGAACAGAAGATCACACCTCAACCTAAGTTGGCTACATACAACACAGCTGTCGCCAGCAATATATTCAGTATGACAAAACTTAGAATATTCTCTAAGACCAGAATTGAGACAAGGTTGTCCACTATTACCCTCACATTCAATACAGTGCTTTTAGCCAGAGCTTATAAGGCAAGAAGAAGAAATAGGAAAGGAGTGATAGAAATAGGAAAGGAAGAGATCAAGTCGTCTTTGAAGATTAAGCAATGCTACATTTAAAAGACCATATAGACTCTCCCAGAACTGTTGGATCTGAATAATAGTTTTATCAAGGAGTGGGTTACAAAATCAGCATACAAAAAAGTAGCTTGGACTGGAGAGATGGTTTAGTGGTAAAGGTACTTACCACCAAATTTAAAAACCTATGTTTGATCCCTGAGGTCTACATAGACAGAAAGAGCTCACTCAAATGTCTTTTGGCCTCTGTTATGGACTCTGTGGTGTACCTGCGCACTCGCGCGCGCGCACACACACACACACACAGATAAATATATAAAAAATTTAAAAATAAAAAATCAGTAGCTTTTCTGTATAGTTACAATAGATTAGCTGAAAAACAACTCAGAAAAGCAATCCCATTCTTAATGGCTTCAAAAAGTTAGAAGACGAAGGTATGAACTTAACCCACAAATTTACAGATTTCAACAATTAAAACTATAAAGCACCAAAGAAAGAAATTACAAAAAGCATCATTTCCCCCACATACACCAATCTGCAGAATTACTAGTGTGAAAATGCTTCAGAAGCAAAAGCAATACACCAATTTTATAAAACCCTCATCCGAATTCCAATGAAAATTTTTCACAAAACAAGAAAAGCAATCCTAAGATTCATATGGAAACACAAAAGACCCCAAATAGGCAAAGGAATCCCGAGCCACAGGACAACGTAGTAGTCACCATAGTGTCTGCCTTCAAACTACAAGACAGCATGGTGTTACTAACAAAAACAGACATGTAGACCGGAAGGACGTTGAAATTCCATTTCACGCTAGTCCTGATGGCTAGTGTCAAGAAGGCAAACAAACAAAACTGCTGGCAAGTCCAGAAAGTAGAAACACTTAGATCTGTCAGAAACATAAATTATTGCAGTGACTGTGGAAATCCGTATAGGAGGTTCTTCACGCAGTTAAAACTGGAAGTTCCATCTGCTCTACATGTGCCTCTTCTGGATTCACAGCCAGTACCCGTCCCTCAATAATCTAAGTCAAGTTACTACAGAGATGCATTAGGGCATCTGTGGCCACACCAATTACAATAGCCAAGATTTGGAATCATCCCCGCTGCCCACCAACAGAGCAGATAAAGACGACACATTGCGTATGTGTGATGGAGTTTCCTTCAGCCACAGAGAGGAAATCATGTCATTTGAAGGAAAATGGGTCGTACTGCAGAGCACCACGTTAGGTGAAACAAGCTGGTTCCAGAAAGCATCAACAGGTGTTTTGTGTCATGTATAGAAGCTGGGAAAACCACAAGGTCTTAAAACTGAGGATGGGCTACTAGAAATGTAGACGTCGAGGGAAAATGAAGGGGTTGGGGCAGCAACCAGAAAGAGAAATGGACGGGGTTGGCTCAAGGTACATTACCTGCTTGTGTGGAAATGTCCTATTGAAACCCTCCACTTTGTACAAGCATTGTGTGTCAACTAAAATTTTAAAAGAGAGATTCCGTAACAGCAGTAAGAACAGACTGGACCAAGCAGGCTGCCAAGGGCCCTGAGCTTTGAGGGCAACCGCGGTGGGCAGAGAGACCGGAAGGTCACTGGGAGC